GGAGTTATTTTCTGAGAACTGAAAATAAAAATGACGAAGATTTCAGGATGATGAGTGGAAGATAACGCTTAGAAGCGATGAGAGGTGAAAATTCAGCATTTCATTTCATATCACTAAGGAGAAGACGCTGCAGATTCCGTTCCATAATTTTCATTTGGCTTATATTTTCGATTGCGTTCGATTGGCAAAAGGGCTGGAAATGTCCGAGGTAATATAAGAACTACATTGAGAATTCAAATATGTGCGAGCAACAATCTTACATTTCAGTTCTCCGCCTAATAATTCATAAGATGGTCGGGCAAAACAAATGCGTGTTTTACAGTTAAATTTTCAAACATCGAATACAACACCTTTCTCCAAATAAATAATAAAATTTAGCAAGTGATATAAAACTTAAACATCGAATAATTCACTTAAATACTCGCAGAATAGATCAAACTGTGCATCGAAAAGCACACGTAAAATTCGGGCAAAAAGACCACCCGGGCACTCGATAATCCGTGAAAAATTTCGTTCGATTTTAAAACCATTCATCAAACTTATGCATGGAAAGATTCGTATTTCGTTCAAAAAAACCGTGGACAAAAGACAATTTACATGCGAAGACCACAGACAATCAAGTTTTTGAATGAGACAATGGAAAATCAAATGAACAACAAATGTTGCGAAATACAATTTACTTACCTACCAGGAAATTTTGTGGGTCACAAAAGGCTCTCATATAGTTATACCCATGGCTTTCAACAGACTCATGTATAGCCATGGTTACGAGTTAGGAAAATGTATACCAGATATATCACTGCAGCCATGCGGGGTATATAGACAACTATAGCCTCGTGTGTTAGGATTAATTGTTCATGTGAGTGGACGCCATTAGTAAGAATTATTTGTTTAAAGAGCATAATTAATTAAGATTACTTGTCAGCTGCCATTACGAATTGCCGCATCACATCGCGCACGCATACATGCAGGACAAACTATATACACACTTCACGTTCATGCATATACACGCATACAAATTTCCATAAAAGTTGGGATCGTAATCCAAACTTCGGATATGTTTTATTTTTATTTGAAATGTTGTATAGTCAATTTAAATATGAACAATATCACAATGAGAATAGTCGCAAATAATATAATCTGAGCATGAATAGTTTTTCATTATAAAATTGCCCCAGAGAATTAATTACTTGTCTATACACGCACGTTTTTAGAGGATTCAAGTTTCGCAAATACTTTTTCTGGTTAATCACCAACTTAGAGTTTGAATCGCAGGTAGTGTTTGCAGACTTGAAGCAGCATAAAATAATAAAGAAACTTGAAGTATAAAGACAAAGAACTTGCTATTATTACAATGAAATGCTCTTATTTGTATATTATATTGAACTATTTCAATGAAATACATAGCGAACATCGACAGCTCACTCTCGAGGATGCATCGAAATCCTCTCTGTTGGATGAACACAACAGTGAGAAACATTGATTTGGAAGACCTGTATATATATATATACGTAGGTCTTGTATACTAAAGTATAAATTCAAGCGCTGAATAGTTTTTCTATTAACTGAAATAAGTGAGAATTTTCCATTCAAAGCGAAAATTTACTTCAAAATTCAAACAAATAATTTACAGCAATATATATTTTTTTTGCACAAGATGCTAAGTTACGGTTGGGGTTTTGAAGCAGAAAACCATAACATACGGCTGACTGGAAAAAAACGAGCGAAAATAAATTCATGTCGTATTCGTTCGAACCAGTCTATTTTTACAAAAATTAATATATGAATAAAAAGTTCACCTCGTACGTTCAGCAGATGGAGACCTACATATATAGGCACTTTGTTGATGATCATTCCTTGATAAGAATGTTTTACCAGAATAACTCGATTCAACCTTCTCGGTACGGTAAACTTATTTATATCACTGTACAAAACCTTTAATAAGTTCTATGAATGTTTTGCAGTCCCAAACGACCAAAGTGATATATAGTTGTGCTTGCGTAGTTTTTAAAAGTATGTTGGATGGTTAGATTTTTGAGGGCATACAGAACCAATATGTACCTAACACTATAGTTTTCCATGTATTTCACTTGAATATTTGTAGGTAATGAGTAACTTTGCCAATGTAAATTCTTGAAGTGTGGTTAATGTGAAATTTTATCTAGTATTGGAAAAGAAAAAATAATACTTAATAGGATTGAAGCAATAAGCATTACTGATTCACTGGTGAAAATATACCTTTATTGTAAAGGTGCCTTAGATAAAAATCTGACAGAAGCCAATTGTATAAATGAGTTAAACGTACGTGTTCATGGGTAAAGACAAATTTATCCATGGCATATGGGAGGCCATTTCTACTGTGAAAATTAATTAGAAATTAATGTGCCTTCTATCCATGCAGTAATTTGTTAAACCTAACTGTAGCACGATCGAGCGTTGTTCTCTCTTCTTTTTTAGGACAAGACAGAAGATTTCATACTTAGGACTGAAATTTCACGGCTCCAAAGTGATACATCTTTGATAGCTTTGCAATTTGTGGCTAGATTAATTAAGTGTATCCTTTATAGTTAACAGTTAAATGCGGGAAAATTCATCAAGCCATGAAACCAAGAGGCTCTAAAAACGGCTGGAATGTGCGCCTTTTACGCGGGTCTATAAGTAGACATAAAAAGATCATCTTAACAAGTAAAGATGACCAATGGTCTCAACAACTAAGATTGTTGTTGACGTCACAACATATGGATGATTGCGTGAGTAATTAAGAATAGCTGCTGCGTGGCGTCACAATAAAATGTAGGCATGACATGTACATCAGTGATACTTAAATAGAAGCAATTAAACATATGATGTTTTCCTCAAATCAGCATGCTTTGCAACGAAAAATATTATCAGAAGAAGTTCGATGGCATTAAAAATCAAAATATTTTTTAAAATGTCCCTGGCGTTCCTGATAATAACAACAAAACTTTCAGGAATTAAAGCAGTGCATGGTACTATATACGTTCGGAAAGTGAAAAATTGTACGGATTTATCTCGTGTTCATCGCTAGCGTCATAATTAATATAAGTTAACACAGAAAAGAAGAATGCTGGCACCTCTGTGAAGTTTTGCAATAACGTACCCAATCAATGGCTGTAATTTAAGTAATCGTTAATGTAAAGTCCTCAATCAAGAGACGTTACTTCTCGCAGACATGAACATAAGCTGCAAAAGGAAAAATTCAGAACAACCAGATACATATGTAACCAAATTGAAAAAAAAAATCGCAACACGTTCGGGGTTAGTTTGGTAATTATTCACATTAGCGTGTAGAACGCGTTCCGATGCCGATATATAGCAAGCCATCAACTATACCTGGACGAGTCAATAAGAAAATGAGCTTCTGGTAGGAACTGTAAACCTTACAATAGTAAGGTAAACTCTGTAAACACCGTAAACTCTGTACTACATGTACAGAGTTTACGGTGTGAATGGACGTTACTAGTCTCTGATGCGTATTGAAAACAATGCAGATACTCCTCATCCAAGCTCGATAAAATACTGCTATAGAGCGGATGCGGATCAAATTTTGCATTAGAAAGCAATCGAAGTGTCAAATAGAAATTCGAATTCTAGATAGTATAATAAAGAGGGATAATAGAGAGTTCTCTGAATAGTATAATAGTTAATTGAGCTTATACATGCATTCATATAAAAATAGGTAAACAATCTGATATGGACCATTCTAACAAGTCAGGTTAAGTCAGGGCAAACATTTCTGCGTCTATATATATAGATAAAATAAACACAAATTTTAGATTCTTATTGAACGTAGGTGAGACTATTTATAATTTTGGTTCTATAAGGTTTAAACTAAACCATAAGAAGTAATCGAAGATAATCAAATTTCGAGTATATGTTGCGAAGAAGTACCGTAATTGTATTATCAGCCGTCGAAATCGTGTTCCATGCAAGTACAGATTGATCAATCCAGCTAAAATTTTAACATAAATTATTGAACCAAGTGAAGTCGCGTTATAGTATACGCGGAGATCAATATATGATATGAATTCTTCGAACACATAGAATATAAATGCAACATTGCATGGCCAATACCAGCTCGACATCTGAAGAGCAAAGTTAAAATGAATGACCCCAAGAATATTTCGAAGTATTATTAAGGCTTGTCGTCTGGACAAAATGTTGGCGACGTCGCAGCTGTAGTAATTATGTAGCACCAAGTTCCACACTCATTACTTAAAACGACCAGATCTTATTTTTCACGGATAATTTAAAAACCAGCAGCTAATATAAGACTAACTCTGAACGCACTGATTGTTCTGACTATTATAGCGGGCAGAATTAGTGGCATTAAAAGTAAAATGATATTTAATTACGAATTATACCACGGGATAGCCTCGGGAATGTTATGACCTGGAATGCACCAACAAACGCACTGATTTGAGTGCATTCCAGCGGAGAGATTATCGATCGTTGGTGCTGAATGAATCGTGTGCGTATATATAGGCGAGGGATTTGGCGGGAACTGTAACGCAGCCCGCGTGTAGCAACCACGCTTGTTCCATAATAGACGTTTTACATGAATTCAAGACGAAGTACAACTTATTCCCAAAATATTATAAGCAGAATTCAACGGAAGAATTCACAGTAATGAAATGAGTTTACAGCTACAGCATACATGATAAAATAGGCAGTTGGTCATAGTTGTCAAATAAAATTTCCAACACCGATCGCTCAAGAGTAACACTTGATAACATATACTCAATCTTGCAGTGATGAAAAGTAAGCAAGATGCTAATAAGGATCGGACGAACTGAGCTCCACAAACGGTTGATTTAGCCCTACGTTTTTATTGCTGCGCGCCATGCATGTCACCGCACGATTGACGTACCCGAGAACATAGACGTTATAAGGTCTGCGAGTAGCACAATTAATTGCTATAGCCTATAGGTGAGTACCCGTACAAGAACCATACCATTAATAAATGAAAAGAACTTTACCTGTTGTTCTTCAGGATACTGCAGATGAGAAGTCATGCTGCTGTAAATGCTTTCCTCTTCCCTCTTGCATGCAGAGTTTGCAGCACTATGAAGCTCCGTGTACTGAGTGTGAGAACTCATGTTGGTACTCAGTTCCTTGTTGAGGACGCGAGCAACCATGCTAAACTCGGCATATCCAACACGTACACAAGGAATATCCTCACTGTTTTTTTTCCAAAACCTGTACAATATTTATTTAACCAGGACGAAGTTCTAGAGCATTAATTTCTAATTAACAGAAACACAGTATAAAACAAATCTGTCACACCGATCACTTGTTGATAACGCAATTTAGAATGGAATGCAATAATGTATTTACGAGGGAATGTGGAGCCAAGTAAGAGTCAGGAACGAGCGGTGCAATGCTAGAGTTTTAGACAGGCACACGTCACACGCGAGGTTCCCATGGACTGAATTAGGGTTCTCTACTAGAAGTAGGTGCCAAGTCTTATCACAGCCTCCGCTGCACAGGCAATCGTCTTAGCGCCGCCTTCGTCGGTGCTGCGCCTGCGCATTGGTTGCCGGGCTCGGCGCGTGACGGTTTCATTGCCAGCGCGGCGCTCCTCCTCCCAGCCACGCGCGCGGTTCTCCACTTCCAAGCCACTATCCTATCCAGGGTCGATCACGCGCATCTTAAGTACTCCTACAAGCTTCGACAGCATCTACGAGCCAGCTAAACTCATATCAAATACATCAGATATTACAGTGAGAAAATGGGCTTTAAAACCGGCTGATGGCAAAGCCATCAACAAATTTCACCAGATTTATTTCAGTAAAAAGACATTAAATCGCTAACACTAGTAACCAGCAACATAGGATCATAATACTCGTGAAACTGACAATACTAGAGCGTTTGTTTTACTTAATGATTTCCGATGTAAATTGGCTAGCTAACAGAATGCGTCCTATACATCTGATTAAGAATTAAAAGGTCCGGGTATAGTCTAACTTAACTGCACGTGTCAGAGAGTTTTACAATATATGATCGGATACTCACAGCTATTCCTGTAAGTGGCATGTATATACAGACGAAAAACTGACGTGTTGCAAGCACCTCAAGCGTCGCTATCACGTTCCTCAACTTAAAGCCGGGCAATTTCCTTCCGGACTTTCCGCACAAATTTTGCATTTACAAGCAGCATATGTATATAGGTTTGAACAACTGCTCACCTGATAACTGATGCGAACGCCGTTCAAGTCTCCGACATACAAGATTTATGATTCGTGAACATTGATTCGTGACAGCATTCAGCGAAATGCTGAACAATAAATCAACATCAGAGGTTTACCTACGAATCAGTATATTTAATAGAGCAAAATTCATCAATCGAATTTAAAAACAGCACTGAAAATTAAAACGTTTTCTGAAATTGCACCTGCGTGAAAATAGTAATAAAACTTATAGCAGTGCCATGCACGTCGTTGGCACAGAGGAAACTACACATCTTTTCACGTTTCATCGCGATATACAACGTCAAAATGAGTAAAACATTTACACGGATAAAAAGTTCCACTCTCTCGGCAAGCATTCAGCGACAACTCAAGTCTTCATTCTCCCACGACACATGTAAGTAACCACGGGTCTCTGTACACAGTGATTTCTAAACCATCCGCGGCGATTGACCGTATAGCAAAAACTAAACGCCACGATTGATCAATCTACGTACGCACGGACAAGACTTAATTGGCAGCGTTCGGTCGCTGTCGGCCTTAAATTCTCAACACTATATGCAGTACTTGAAGTTTTTCGCGACTTCAAGAAAACACTTGCTCACGCGTATATGTATAGTGACCATGCAGTTTGGTTAGAAAACTTGTACCAAGTCAATATAAGCGGTGTTGATGGCCGGAAACCAGTACTAGATGTCATTAATTGAATCCTACGGGAAATACGGTTCAAGGATTCGCAGTCGTTTTCTGTACAGCCTGTATAGTCGATCAAATTTTTTCAGTATGAGCCTTTATTTCAGTATCTAAGTGCCTATTCTTCAAAGTTAAAGTTTAATGCCTTATTAATACGTACACCAACATCATAAGTGAATAAAATATCATGATGAGCAGAGGAGCATAGACGCTTAGAGAAGGCACCCAAGATAAGCTATCGTCAAACAGCTGTTCAGGACAGAAGGAGATAGGAGCGATAGTGTGCATTGAATGTGCCGACTAACTCTATCAAACTTACGAGGTTAGAAATGTTTTCTTCCACATTCTGAGAATTATGAAACCTTGAAAGAAAAGTTTCAGTATAACAATCAATAATATGAAATGAGCACATATATTAACGTTTTTATCACTTGAAAACATTAATTTCAGGATCCGTCTAAAATTATAGGAATATGGTCAATCTAAAAAGCGCCATGTAGAAGTGTTCAATGAAAATGTTGGCATTGCTTCTCTAGTTTTAGGAAGTCTGTACGCAGCATGAACGCTGCAATCTGCTCATATACTGGACACAGTCTCTTCTGAGTGAAATTCATCCAATTAATTCGACTGTCTAGTAAATATTTCAAATTATATAATTCAAGTTTGATACACGGAAAATGTCTCTTTCATGAAACTCATTATTCATACTTCCATTCGGCCAATATAAGCGACGCGATGAAACTGTTTCTAAGTCGGAGTTGAAATTCGGAAAAATAGTTGAAGGTCAATATCCACCTAAACAGCTATTTTATAAGTTGTAATAGCATATGCTTAATTGCTTAACGAAAAATCAACGCCATGTTAGATGAAAGAAACTTATTAAGACACCATTGGCATGTATATACGCACAAACTCTGGCGCAAGGCAGAGTTCGCTCACTCGCATTTCGCCTGAGGCGTCGGATGCGATCGAAAGGAAGCACACGATTGGCTAGGAAATCTTCCCGACCTCAATCAAATGGACAACTTCCGCAACCTGTACGAAAAAAAACGCAGAAGGAACTGTGCAGTGCAAATGCTATTTCCTGCAACAACATGTCATGTCCAGGTATGAAATCTTCATCGGTGAAAAATATCAAGATAAGTGAAACGTCGCAATGGGCAAAATAGCGTTTATAAAAAGCCAAGTTAAAACGCTTGAAGGTACTGATCGACACATGACAGAAGTCGATTCATTGTGTACTGGCGACATGAATGAGATAGAACTCCAGAACGAATGATACGCTAACGGAATTAGAATTTGAGCTCAATTTAATTGTTCAAATTGTTTGAACTCAATTTAATTGTTTATTTAATCAATAACAACGATCTGCTGTTATTTTTTAACGGTTTGGCGTATTGACAGCGAAATTTTATCACGCGAACGGGTTCATTCTCATAAGAACTCTTAAGACATTTTTGGGCATGACTAGTAGGTTATTAATTGTTTTATGTTTTATATCTGGATGAATATTATGCGTTTTTCATACAAGTAGAAACGGCCATAAACATTTGCTATGAAGAATGCGTGCATTTATTTACTTTCCGATTATTTATTTATATTATTTATTTTCCGATAATGAAATGAAATATTCGCTCAAAAGGAAGATGTTCACAAATGTTTAATCATGAACGAATGCATACGCTGCGTGTGTGAAGAAAATTATTTCAAATTGAAAACTAGGCTCATTCATTAGCGATGATTATTCCTAAATTTTGAAATACATGCATGGAGTATGAAAGTCTGCGAACACCAATAAATATGGTTCAAGAAGATATTCGCCTTTCGTAACCTTTAGAAAACATTTTGTTCAAAATATTTTCATGAGCATAAAGAAAACGGATTTGCTGCACATCTGAGCGAGTAATATGAAATGCCACGCTAAAGTTATTATCTAAAACCTAAATTATTCAAAATAGTGTGGGCGATTTGAAAAACATTCACTAATCTGTTAAGATTATAAAATAAATTCTAGAACATGTAGATTCAGGTAAATTACGGTACATAATTGGTGCGAGCATAAAAAACTCGGAGCGGAATATATATACAATTTCAGGACGAATCTTAATTTCAGAACATGATTGGGAATGCACTATGTTGGTAAAAGCTATTGTAGAAATAAGGCAAAGCTGTATAGGTATTGCATGTATAGTGGGTTACGTGCAAGAATTACATCTGGAAAGTGCCGTTGTTGAAGATGGCAACGTTAACGATGCGTAAAAGCGACGGAGAGAGCAGCGTCGCTTCCATGCATGGGAGATTTTTTCGCACGTCTTCGAACGGACAATGACCGCTGACACGCAAATGCAGCCCGTATCATGCGTGGCACGCAACGCTCGCGTCCTCAGGCTTAACGACCAGGTACAATGACCAGCCAGAAATACAACTGTACAATGCATAAATGACATGAATCAAACATTGGGGACAATACAACTGCGCATAAATGACATGAATCAAACATTGGGGACACAACCAAAGACCATCAACAGCCATTATTGCAACACTCTAAAGCAAGTGTATTCGTGCCAGGCAGAAAAGCTTCTCTGAGCCACCACTGCCAGGTACACAAAAGAGAAGTATAACGCGTCTCGTGCCTACAACAGCCGATGTTCGCGGTGCCTTGAAACGCACAAAAATTATTCACGGTGCAATAAAGCTAACAAAAAACACAGGATTATTCTAGTAAATGAAGATGCTACGAATTAATGAATTTAAAGCGTCAGTCATACTTTTGGATTGAGTGCGTACTGAAGCCCTAAATTTGGCTTAAAATTTACTGCACGGCGACTATTTTGTAATGCTAGAAAGAACTATGTGAATCTAAGTGCGACATTATGACGATCCTTTCAGACACAGACAGCGTCGATCATAGAAGTTCTGAGCAAGAAGTAGAAAGGCCAAGGCGCACGACACTTTCACCACAGTTCCTATAAGCCGTAATGTTTCGGGGATTGATCAATTGCCGCGGCCAACAGGACGCGCGACTCGACCCGTTCGCTGGTCGCTTGTGGCCACACAAAAACAAAACGTACGGACGATGCTTAGCGAAGCCAATTAAATTTACCGATGCAAGTGAAATAGACTAAACAGCTGAAAAATTAAAAAACTTATTCTTTTAGCACATATACATGTGCTTTTTAACAGTTTTCCTTGAAATGGATAGTTCAAATATACGAGGAAAAAAATTCTAGAAGACTCGACCAGTCGACGTCGTCCGGTGCGTATTTTATATTAACAAGTGTAGTTGGCAATCTACTCCATCTGAATGCAAAGTAAATAGTTGCAAAAGAAATGCTTGTCAGGGCATACAAAAAGTAACTTTTTACAATAATTACTAACTCAAATTACAGAGCTTAAAAAAATTGTCATGAGAGTTTGTAGGTAAGTTTTTACATTTTTATTCCCCCTCTGAATATCAATGCTAAAGTAAACACTATACGGTTTAATTGAAAAAATTGGATCTCATGTGCTCACATCTGCCGACTTCGCTTTGCCGCCACGTAAGTCATAATGCACGACCTTGCGACACGCTT